TATTATTATTTATTTGTACTCGTATAAAATAAAAATAAAATACAAATAAAATACATTTGAATAATAATCTATAATAATATTACATTATAGTGTATCTTTTATATCTCTAAATGATAAATATTAATGCGATATGTTAATAGAGTTTAACTAACTAGCCGATGCAAATAATTTTGTCAATATGATCCAGTAATATCAAGCAAATCGACGCGTGCCTACGCTCAACTTTTTTGACAAGCAGACCAATATATTGCGATATGTGACCGGGCAATAATTAATTAATTTATGCGATGGCCGTTGCAAACGAAAAAGGGAACTTGAAATTTTTACGCTCTCTAGACGGCCGAAGGCAAACCTCTCAATTATGAAATTTTCGTTCACCTTAATAAAAAAAGAAATAACTAGAGAAAAGGAGAGGAGAGAGAGAGAGAGAGAGAGCAACACGTAACAGTTCGATCCTCGGCAAATGCATTAACTGACAATGAGATATGCAACTTTCGGCCTTGTAACACATCGTCTTTTGTATTTTTCTACGACGTGTATATCGTTTTTGCACCGTTGTGAATTTCTGACGGTTGCGCAAGACGTTACAATGATAGCGCGTCCGATCGAGATTGTATCGCGTTTCCAAAGAGAAAAGCGCGGAAAGGAACGGATAAAAAGAAAGAAATAAAAAATAAACACAGGCTGTTCCAACTTCGATTTAGATGACGGATCATTCCTTGAATCGTTGTCATAGAGAGAAAGAGAGAGAGAGAGAGAGAGAAATTCGAAAGTAAAGGTACGCTAAATGCACGGTCGACAAGTGCCATTATATATGTATTTCGTGCTTATTTCCGTTCGCGGAAAACGCGATTGAAACGTATTGCGCAGCAACCTCGAAACCGTCACGATTGTGTAAAGCAATATAATTACCGGCGTTAGTCATTTGACGGATATAATAATCGATCACAGCCGCCTACACACATATCTCGCGATACCGATGCGATATCATCATTACCCTGGACGCGGAACTGGTGCATCGCGCGCAATTTTACCGGATTGATGCGGACACAAAGAGTGAAAGCACGTTATTATGGATACCGCTTTTACCGCAACTCGCCGAGTTTCCCGATTCCGTACAGGCGCATCCGCAAAGGCTTGAGTAAATGCATCGTGACTGATGACACTGTCGCATTCTTCCGGACTGACCGATGGTTATTTATACAATAATCGCGATGATTTTCTCGCACGATTGAAAAAGACAGAGATTTTGAAAGGATATGCGTCGCAATTTTCATCGAAATAGATTTAATAACACGAAATGGCAACAATTTTTTACGATAGCGCGTGTTTGTTGTTAAGAGTATTTAATTAAATTGTCCTGCAAGTTATCTTATTTAAAATTTTTTTTGATCTACAGAGATTGTGTGTAAAGATTCGTGCGAGGATGGAATCAAGTGGACTAAAATCAATCTTATCAGCTTGTCAATATTGCGAAAGAAAAAAAAAACGTGCGATGATAAGAACGCGCGTATGAAATGGACGAGTTAAATGTAAGATATATGTATAAATTTGCTAATACATAAAAAGAGATATTAATTAATCTTACTTTGAATCGTAACGTAATTATGGTATAAATTCAAAGTATCTATGAAGTCATACGATCCGCATCTAAGCAACATCTGTAAAAATGCTTTGCTCGATAACTCGACCGCGCCGCGTAGATAAAGATTAAGTTACGCCTATTGCAAATATGAACACTAAATGTTGCGTAGTAGAATGAAACATGTTCTTCGAACTTGTAATGTTCTAGTCACGATAAAAAGTACAATACATATGTTGCAAATAATATTTGATAATCTTAGTATATCCGCGGATTCAATTCATTTCTAATTTTCGATTGCAAAGAAAATAAAATGACAGAAATTTGGTAAAGCTTATTAAGGCGATTATAGAGTAGTAAACCATAATGATAAATTCGATTTTAATCTGTATTGGATAAATTGGAGATTCTTCTGCTACGTCAAAAGAATAGGTTCTCACGCGTTACCATCTCGTACTGGAAAGCGATAGAAATGATAGAAATTCGATAAAGATGGTGGTTAATAGTCGTAACCACCGCATATAAATTGGCTGGTTCGAGCGGTTAACTAACGTTAACCGAGATTAGTAATCACACAGCGCTCGCGAAGTTGAAAACACTCTTCAACTGGAAATATATCCGTCGTGACCCGAGGAAAGCGGAATATCGCGCCGCTCTCTAGTATTCTCCGAGGCTAAAACGTTATTTCACCTCTCGCATCTTTCTCGTGAAGCTCTTTCCTCTACAATATAACAGCGCATTAATCTCCCTAGTCTCACGAGTCATGAGATTCTATGAATCAAGCATCTCAGAAGTCAAACTGATTAACTTAAAAAGTAGAGTTTGGCTTCTAAGAGGTTCAATTGCTACAAGTTATAATAGGAATATATTATCAGAAATATGAATGGCATATATTACTAATTCGCTGAAATATTAATAGTTACGGAGAGAAACGACTAGATGATAAAATCAGAATGAAATTTCAGTTGGATTTTAATAAAAAATTTCATTTCAAAATTTAATTATAAATGATGAGAATATTGGAAAGTTGCGGTGAAGGTTGCGACTTTTCTCCTGACTCAATTTCACACAAAATCAGAGACGCACAATTTGTCATTTAAAAATCTTAAGATCACGCGAGTGGTTCCTCTGTGTACTAGTAATACGAGTGCTTATTACGTGAATATTCTGGACCGAATACGAAGGTTAAGAACGGCGGGCAGGGAAAGCGGAGAAACGAGTATGTGTTATATATATATTATATGCACTCACCGCGTACTTGTCCTTGTAGAAGAGCGAACTCGTCGACATGGTGGCACAAAACCGGTGGCGATGCCCGATTCTCAAATCGAAGATCACGTCGTCCTGGTCATCGTTGTCCGCTTCTACGATCGTCCCCTCCTCTTGTTTCCGCTCCGGAAATGCTCGTCGCACTTACACTCTGCACACACGAATGATGATAACGATAACGATATTGATATCAATATATGTCTATAGATGACAAGATAGGGATACGAGAACAGTTTAATTTAATGCGTCGCGTCTGGTATCATTTATCTTACAAACTTTGCACGCACACATTCGCATGATATAAGACTGATATATATAATCCGATTTTTTTGTTTAAGAATAAGAAACAGATTAATGTTACAAAAGCACATCTCTGAGAAATTATCTTTTTACATTTTACCACAAATCAAAAATACTTAATTAGCTGTTTTTTTACTCCAATTATATATAAATTGTAATTTATTAAATATATTGTATATAACATAGAATATAGACTATAAAAGTCATGTTATATATCATATTTTTGCAATCCTTTAGTAATATTTATTCTCAATTTTGTCTCTACATAATCTTAAATGTTTAAAACATTTCGCTGTTAAAAGATCCAACTTACGAACACTGAAGTTTTCACTTGTCGCGAGAGGAGTGTATGTATCTCCGCCGCCTAATATTCTTCTTAATTTCTCCTCTCTATTTCACGTGTTCTTATACAATCTCCTCGCTTATTCTCTCTCGTATTCCTTCCTCTTCGGCGAATTTTCCCGCGAAGAAACGTAACGCCGTATATGGCGTAAGGAAGCCGCGCGACTGCACCCGCGATCAATCGATCGAACGATCGACGACGCCTCTTCTTTGGTGACACGCAACTCGCGCGCGCGCCCACGCACGCATGCACGCACGCATGCACGCAGAGCGGAAGAGCGAGCGAACGGCAGATCGCACCTGAATCGAACCTGCGGGAGAAAGAGACTGTTAGTACCCGTCCGCGTGTCCAGTTAGTCGCGGCACAAGGATGCCCCCTCCTCTCACCCCCCTATCCCCCACGCCACGCGAGTCTCGTCTCCTCTCTCCCCCTCCTCCCCACCCCTCTCCGGTCCCCCTTTCCTTCCCCACACACGAATGACCTACAATCTACAATCTCCGGACTCTGCTTTGTTTGCATCTCTCTTTCTCTTCCAATATACGTGTGTATGTCGCGAGTCGTCGCGATATACCTATCGGCGTTTTTTTTTTTTTTGTTTCTCCCCCTCTTTCCCCCCCCCCCCCCCGCGGGCCGGCCAAAAGACGAGTTTGTAAGATCACCCAAAATTTTTACTTGTTTGCAAAACGTAAATTATTACTTCAACATCTTTAACGGGAAAGATAAAATATTCAAGCAATGAAGTATGTGCATAAGCATCATATATAGTTTGTTGAATAACTTATTACATAAATTATTGAACCGAAAGAACCGTGTGTATGTACGTACCTCGCAAGAGACATCGTGGAAAGAACGCCGTTACGTTTGAAGTTCGAAGTGAAGCGAGTTGCAAATTCGCGGCAAACTTTAGTTCCGTGGAGAGAGACCTCTGTAAAAAAAAAAAGAGGTAAATTTAAAAAAACTGTACGATTGATTCTTCAAAATTATAAAGATGATATTTCATGATAAATTCTGTCTCAAATAATAAATTAATAAATTTGCTTTACACGATCTGACATCGATCTCTGATCGATTACTAGAGATTTCTAAAAATTGGTTACATAAAATTAATAATAATCGACATACTTGGCTACTTGCGTATTTAATTCCCAAAAGTTTATGTTTACACACACATATACGAACAAAATATTTTTTAATATTGTTTCGCGAAGAATATTTCAACATTGTTCAGAAATTTTTTATATACATATACATGTGTATATATGTGTGTTTAAATAAATAGATAGTCTTATATTCCAGCTTTGTGTTATGGGTGCGCGATTTTAGATATACCTTTAGTGCCTTCTTTTACAATTTAAATGACAATCAATCGGATATTTTCGGTGTATTTCTTAAAGTAAATTTTTCTTTGCCAAGGTCAAACTCGCGTCAAAAATCCTTTCAAAGAAGCGCCATCGCGCGACTGCGCGCGCCGTCGTCGCAAGTCTCAAATCGCCGCGCGCACGCGCTGGTCCTCGATGGGTCGACGTCGAGTGTAGCGCGAGATCTCGAAGTGCAACGATCTCGAATCGAGTTCGCGTTGCGCGGTGCGTGAGCGCGCTGTGTGTTTGTTTCCCTCCCGTTGTGCGAAGCCAAAGTCTGAACATGACGCAAGAGAGCCAGTAAGTATAAGCGAGATCGGCGGTGAGAAAAATTGCCGCGAAGGATACACGCGGCCCCGGAATCCGTTGACGGGATCCGCGATCGCGCGTCCTCGTAAAAACCGGCACCGCGTGATAAACGCCGCGAGGATATCTTGTGCCGCCCCGTGGCTCTCGCATCCACCATCGCCATGTTGGTTGGATGACGGTATTATTGATTCTCGAAGTTTCCAGGCGGGATGATGCGACGTGCGATGCTTCTCTCGCCGATCGAGAAAGGAAAAAAATAATACCGAATGCGAATCCCTACTCGCGGTCCGTCCTGTCGCCCTCGACGAGGAGAAATTCCCCCCCAAATTCGCGTTCCTTCACGTCACGTCCTTCTCGTCTTCGAAGACTCCGTCGAACCGATCGAGTTCGGATGACTCTCATTTTTTCAAAGATGCGATTTCATCTTTATGACAATTAAAACGCGATCTCTTCGATCACGCCGGTATTTACAGTACCACGTGTGATACCGCGAACGTAATGATCCAAAAACGCCGAATCGCTACAGTCTCGAACTCTTGACCCTAACCTATAAGACGCGCAATAAGTCCGATATCGATATTTCGTGCACGTGGGAATTGAACAGGTAATTCGATCGCGCGATTTTCCGCGATTTATAATGAACGAGATAGTTTTACATGCGTGATGAAAATTCTGAAACAATGTTTCATTCATGTGGGAGAAGGTCTTGTGATGAAAATCATTGTAAACGTAGAAATTCGAAAAAGGAAGCCAGAGATCGTAAATTTTGATTAGAAGCCTCGTGCAAATTTGATTTATCTGTATAGCTTTTATTACTTGGGTTTTTTCCCAAAAGTCTGAGTGATATCCTAAATATCTACTAAAAATTTAATTCTTGTTAATATATATCTATTGAAAAAATAAGAATTAAAAAAAAAAGATCTACTTGCTATTATATATTATTTTAAATAAAAAAAACTTGTATATGTTTAATGAAAGAATATTATGGAAATGATGGGTTTATATAAAAAAATTTAATTTTCCCATTTTAGAAAATAAAGTATTATAAATAGCAAGATTTTCTACTGTATCTCATTTAATATTTCCTCCTTGTATCCTTTTCTAATTTTTAGGATACCTCCTCCACCAGTTATGTGGGCCCAAAGGAAAGATATCTTATTTGTTACAATCTGCTTAGAAGACTGTAAGGATCCTGTTATGGAAATTGAACCAGAGAAGATATATTTCAAAGGAGAGGGTGGCACAGATAAAAAAATGCATGAAGTTACAATTAATTTATATAAAGAAATTGAACCCAGTAAAACTGTAAAAAATTTGAAAGGTAGAACTTTTGAATTAATTCTTGCTAAAAAAGAGGAGGGACCATATTGGCCACGGCTAATTAAGGATAAAACAAAGGCTCATTGGTTAAAGAGTGACTTTAACAAATGGAAGGATGAAGATGATACTGATGATGAAGGTAGCCCACCTGATTTAGAAGAGGTAAGATCATTGTAGGACTTGGTCATAATTAGGACTTTAGTTTATATATATAATCAAAAGTAATTCTCAGATTTTAAATTATTTGAATAATTTACAGTCAAGTTCTCGTATTCACAAACGCATTTTAAACTTAACCTTCAATTGCACATGTGGGTCCTTGGAAATAAGTTTATTAGAAAAAGATAAGATAATTATTAACCTTGAACTGTATGTTTTCTCTAAATCCTAAATTTTTCTTAAATGGCAAGTAAAAATAGAAATAGATTTGTATCTACATCTTAAGATACTAGGCAGAGAAAAAAAACTGATACAAATATGATATACAATATCATTTGGGAGTTGATTTTTTCTCATTCATTCTTTTTCAATTACTTTTACATTTGTCACACATAAAAAAAAAATACTAGTGAGATTACAGACATGAACACACAATAATTAAATGCGCATTATTTTTATTCTACTTATTTATATGTTTATTATTAAAACATAAATATAGTTCGAAAAGGAAATGAAATGAAATTTGCTTAGTTTTGCTGAATTAATATTAGGAGGATTTGATTGTATATAATTAAATACATAATATATTATTATATAAAGAAAAGGAGATTGTTAATAAATGCTTTTTTTTTTACCTGATTTTACAGATGATGCGACAGATGGGTGGTCTGAGCGGTTCTGGTGACAGTAAGCCAAATTTCGATGATTTAGATGAATTAGGAGACAACGAGGCCGACAGCGATGACGAAGATCTTCCCGATTTATACGATTAAAACGATGAATAACCGCATCGATTAATTGATTAATTAATTATATTAAAAACGAATGGCAACCTAAGGATAATGCACAATTGGGCAATATTTCAGTAGGTTTCGCTGTTTGTATCTTCAATTGCAAATTCGTTATAAAATGGCCGTGTTGCAAGTAGCAAACTGGGCGCGCAAAATGGACTACAAAGAGAGAACAGTGTGGTAATGCAACTGAGGAACAGTAATACACAGCTCTCGAGGATTCTCCACACCTCACCCGCCTCCCCTTTTAGCCTGTAGTTCATATACTAAGTTATAATGAACAAGCTTTTTTAATAATATATTCTGTAAAGTAATAAGGAGATAAAAAAAGATAACAATACATGGAATAGTTCATTTTGGGAAATCCTACAAAGCACTATTGACAGGCATGACAAAATGTTATAAATGTTGTCTGTGAGATAAAAATATCAATACTTTATTTACTCTGTCTTTTTATTGAATTGAATTGTTCCGTCTATTCTCTATCCTCGTTAAAATATTCTCTTGTTCTCTGTGTAAAAACGAAATTGCACTCGAGATATTGAACGTTGTCTTGTTTCCTGATTATGAATGAACATAAAATATGTAATTATTTAACCGACGATGCTAGATGCTCCACGTAAAGCTAAATATCCAGCCGTTATATCCATCGGTAAACTGCGAACCGTTGAAAATTCTTCGGCAGTTGCGTAATATAATTTAGTCTGTGGATCAGTGTATCGTGCCTGTAAAAAAAATTTACGCAATTTATAGTTAATGGCATTAACAATATCTTCGAAGAACGTATAAAAGAAAGAAGGTTAGTTGATAAATATGACAGGAATCACTTACCGGTAATCCGGAAATGTCGGAATACTTCTTAGCAGGTTTGAAGCTTGGCGGTGCATTAATGGAACTATCTGAAATTTAAAAGAAATCATGGGCGTAGAGGTAATGTATTTTTCTCCACTCTCTCCTAAAATATTTGATTTTTGGTACTGTTTCATTTTTCATTATTTGTACAACTAGTTGAACGTCTTACAATTTCAATACCTTCTGACTGATATATAAAACACAATGACAAGAGAAAAAAAAATGAAGATTCTATCACTCTACGTACAGTGTTTTACTGTCACTGGCCATGGCAACGAACGTTCCTGAGCCAAAACTTGCTTCAACGAACGCCAAGTGCGTTTTTTGCCACTATTGCTTGTCGGTCGAAATTTCTGTTGGAACAAACGGTTCTTAAACACGGGCTGTGGTTTCTTGTTAGCATCTATCACTTCTTCGCTTGCCATTTTTCAATATCGCCTAAAACAAATGGATTTAATACATGAAAACAATTTTAGTTACTAATGAGATCAAGACTGTTGAGAGCTTTTATGAACTAGGGAGTTGTCATGAACGAATAAGAATATATTGCTAAAAATATCTGTCTGTATACACAATTTATAAAGAAGATACAAAAAGTATAGCTATAATTATTTATTATAAGCAAACAAAATTCAATATAGAGAATATAATTTTTTAAATATATTATATATGTAT